AAGGACAGTTCATGTTTACTTCCCTATACCTAAACCTAATAGGTTTGATGATATTAAAAATTTTACTTAAAACTTACTTTTCTGCATTATTCTTAAATAATCCGTTTTTACAAGTTGGCCATGTAAATTGTTTGTAATTAATTGATTATTAATTTTGGTACTTGTGAGATATTACATGGCCAACTTGTAAAACAGAGTTATTTAAGAATAAGGCAGAAAAGTAAGATTTATGTAAAATATTAAATATCTTCAAAACTATTAGGTTTAGGTATAGGGAAATAAACATGAACTGTCCTTATTTTTTATCGCTGATTTCAATAAAATAGAAAAAAATGGGTGGTTCCATTAAAAAAAATGAAAAGACTTGGTATTTTTGAAGTTCAACTTTTCAGATGTTTTGTATACACCCCGTATAAAATAAAAAGTTTTTTAACACATATTCAAATACCTTTGACCTTGCTAGTGGCCACCCTACAGAAACCATATCCATATCTTTAAAGGGATCACCGTAAAAAAAATAATTTATAAGGGTCTGCATCGGTCAAATTTTCCAAAAAAAAATTAGTAACTCAAAAAGTATGCATTTTTGAAAAAAGTTTTTTAGACAAAAGCACTCTAAAATTTTGCGTACATTTCGAAAATATATTAATATATGGGGTGTCCCATTTAAAATAACAAAGTTGCTGTCCACTTCCGGTATAACCGGAAGTAAAGAAAAGTTGAAAATATTTCCATTGAATAGAGCGCATCGACTAATACTTGTACACAAATTTTCAAATTTTAATTACACCTACTTTTCCAGATACTTCTAATGGGCCTTCGTCGTGACACACACTGTACACTAAAAGAAACTCACTACTTTCGGCTGCGAGTGTCGCTAAACAGCGACAAGTTCTTACACCTACGTTTATTTCGATTCGGTATCGTTAAAAGGTAACTAAAAACTTTTTTACGGTATTAAAACGGTCAGCTTCGGCTGCGTCTGCAGCTATACAGCTATTTAGCAAAAGGAGAGAGTCACGGTCGGGTAGATTGAATACAATGTCTTTCTCGTTTCGGATATTTTTTTTTCGTTGCACTTTTTGTCCTCGTTAATAAGCAAACGAAAAACTGCGAGGCGGCCGGAGAATGATATACAGGACGTCTCTTATCGCTAACCCCGTAAGTATATTTACAGCCGTGCTTATAATATGACATACTTCGGATATTTATCGTAGCAGTCGTGTGTTGTAAATTTGTATCTTATCGAAGCGTTTGGATCAATAATAATCCATTGTCATTCGACAACGTTCAATAAACAACTGTAATATTTTTTTAACATACTTGCGCAGATAAGAGGAGAAATTTCAAAAATGCTCGGAACCGACTCTGACTTCGATGAATCGATATTTTATTAATTAATATTTGACAGGCGACTGTCGCGGAATCAAATTATCCTGTAAAGAAAATGTTAATTAACGCTCGGGCAAGATGAAAGTCATGTTCGTTAAAAAGCCTCTTGCGCAACGGCTCAATAAACGGATCACAAAACGTTTAATGAAGCTCTTTGAGGCGCTATCGGAATGAAAAAAAAAATCCTAACTGTAATTTACCTAAGTGGCGATTCCGCACAGTGTTGTATTAGAAATTTCCTATCTATTAATAGCTCATTATAATGCATCATTTCCTCTTCGTGTTTTAGGACCTTGAGTATTATTAATTCGTCCCGCAACCTTTGGACAACCTCGAACCACGCCTATGGTTTTAGTACCATTTCGTTTGCCTCCATATGGTCATAGACTGCTCGACTGATTCGGCAAAATGGTTTGTTTTTTCGATGGCCGATCTCGGTGATTCACGTCTCAAAAATCGAATAGTAATTACGGGCCAAAGAATAACAGCTCGGCCATGTTTCGTAATAAATCAGCGGCGTACAAGACCATCATTTATGAAGGTACTAAAAATGTCAACCGTTTCTTTTATTTCCAACGATGAACTCGAACCATCTGCTTTAGAAAGAATCGGCTTTCTAGTGGTTCTTTAAGAAATTGGAGTAGGTATACAGAGGGTTTTAATGACCTAAATTCCTTTTAATTAGGGCCGGTTTATCAATTGAAGGTTACCCCTCGAGTTAAAGATAACCCTGAGTTAAACTGCCAAAAGTGTTTTTCCCATCGCGGGTCAACTGTTAACTCGAGCGATACCCCTGGGTTATCTTAACCCGCGCAAATTTGGCAGGTTTTGTGGATTTGACTCTGGGTTAACCTAAAATTTGCGTGTTTTTCTGTTGTCAAACGCATTTTTTCATTGTTTTTAAGTAAATCCAATGGAAGAACTAGATTTTAGCGATGACGACCAAGACGTTCTAGAATTTATAGGTCATCAGCGGGGGCCCTAAATTGTAAGGCCACGGCAAAATCCGTTTGAAGATTTTTATGAGTATGATTTTTTCGCTCGCTTTCGATTAAAAAAAGAAACCGTTTTGTTTGTGTTAAAGCCCATAGAAGACATGGTAAAATTTCCTACAAACAAGTTTTTTTTTCGAATTCGGAAAAATTCGATTCTCTCCTTCTATCCGCCATATTTATTCTTCTGACTTCTAATTTTCATTTCAAATATTCAAAACCAAAAAAGTTAGGTTATTATAGTCAAGAAATGTCAAAAACGAGCACAAAACAACGTTGCCAAAGTTTCAACGTCTATAATGTATTGCCAACCTTTCAGCATTTCGTGGGTTTGCTAGCCCAGGGTTAAAAAAGCTTGGATAAACACTTTTATTCTTAACTCGCAATTTAGCCCAGAGTTAGAGGTAACCCAGGGTTGGCTAACTCGGCGAGTTATCCCTCAATTGATAAACCGGCCCTTAGACGGTAATAAATAATCTATCAACTCCACTTTCTACCTAAATATCTAGATATACAAGGGTCGTTAAAATCTGGCTGCAGGTTGTGGAGATATAGTGGAAGCGATGAAAATTGGCCTGTTACTGATCGAGTAGTCGACGCCGCTGTCAAAAGCCCATCAAGCGACGATGCAAAAGCGAGCCCGAGATCGTTCAAGGTCGATTTTCACGATTGACTTTTTACGTTCGAGATATCGGATATGGATCTTTGGAGGAATGTCATGCCATCGAAGTGTCCGTGTTATGTACACGAATCGATTACAGTGAAACGCTTTGTTGCATCCCGATAAGAAAAAAAAAGTGAGTCAAATCGTCGATAACGTCGAAACGCATTCGTCTATAGGGCTTATTTTGCTGGGTTATCTGTAGAGGTGCTCGATTCGATCATCGTTTTCTCGGTACTATTATCACGATTATTCGCGTAATGTATACATAGTAGTTATTCCTCTTCGTTAACGAGATGATTTATTTAATTATTCATATGTTATATTCCCGCTGCGGATCGTTTGGTTCCTATGGAGATGTTAATGATTATTATTTTTTTTACACGAAAAACTAATTGGTGCAATTTGATTTTTGTTCTCGCTCTGTGGAAGAGCGTAAGTAATTTCTAAAAATAGCTCATACCAGTTTACAAAAACAATATATTAAAACCGGTAATTTAAATTTTAAATTCAGCGTCAGTTATCGGGCTAGTACCTGCATTTTTTACAACATCGCCACTCATTCGATAATTTTATTTATCAACTATTAACAGCACTAAAACCGTTATTGTTCAATTGCAATGAGAGATAAGGATTACAATAAAGCGATAGATTTTATCGAGTGTATTTTAAAGAAGAAATAAGATGTATTTGCTGTACACACCTGTGTTTGCTCGTTTTCCGTTTCAACCGGTTCATGTTCGAATTACATACGCATTTTTTAATCCATTAAAATGATTAAGGTAACTGTTTCGACGTCTAATTTTCCTCCGCACGGAACGGGCTAATCAATTTTATTCTTTTTGTCGATATTACGACGCCCAGTGGCATGCATTAAATTAATTAAATGATGCAAAAAGCGGAGTCGTCGGTTTCGAATGAAAATTTTCTGCGGTTTATGGACTTCCAGTGGTCGTTAACGGTGTAACCGTTTAATGATCAAAAACATGACATCATGCCATTATTTTAAGCACACTAAAATTAAGTATTACATAAGTGCGAATAATCAGTTTAATGTGGAACGTTGATTTTAGACTTTGTATGATTTTTTTTCTAGTTAATAAATATTCGGTGTTTACTGCACGAAGTAAACAAAATTGGTGTTACTGTTAGCTGGATTTATTATACCAAAAAGTAACTGGATGAATAAATCAACATTTTCTCTTCAATTACTTTCTTCTTACTAAAATCTGTTTTCTTTCTCTACTTTTTCATACATTTTCCCTTCTTATTCTTCAGTTTTTCATTGCCCCTTTGCAAATTATCTCTTTATGGAAGTTGCTTCCACATTTGATTAAACAATTCGATCAATTCAAACAATTGATTAATTCTCGATTGTAATGTTATCATCCAATATTTACCAACAGGTTAATAAAATCTATGCTCGATTATTATCCTGCTGAAAAAATAATTTGGTTAAGTAATGTAACAGGCGATTGATATGTATATTATTATGCCCTAAAAGTTTCTTAATAATTCCTTTACGTAACTTGAACATGTAAGTTTTCTTGAAATTAATCAAAGTATTATAATATAAAATGAAATAAATACCCACCTATCCAATTAAAAGCATAAATGAATGTTGGGTAAATGCAAGTTTTTTTGATGTATTGTTAAGTTTATTCCGTTTTAGAGAAGCAATTAATTTTGTGGTACAATTTGTACGCGTCTAAATTATGAATTTAAAACAGAATGAGTCAATTAGAAATTATAAATTTTAATTAAATCGCCGAAACCGCCTGCGTCGTCTACGTTCCCATCTGTTCGTCTTACCTACATGTTTATAAAAATAATAACAATAACATCCTGCCGATAATTACATTCATAATCACATAAAGAATACGAATTAACAACTCCTTCAAGGTCCGAAAAGCCTCGAAAATCAAAAGCAGGAAGCAAATGCGAAATGTACTTACATCGACAGAAAAACATTCTTGCGGTGTCCTAGTAACAATCATATTCAAACTAAAGAAAATCAACGAAAGACACGAAAACTCGGCGACTTTGTTACGGCGAAACTATCACATGTTGAAAAACTCAAAAAACCGAACGTTTTCAGTCAACATTTTGAAAATAAAAAAATTTGGAGGTTAGAACTAAACGGAAAACGGCCTACTATACAACAATCTACTAATACACAGACTGGTTACTACGAACTACGATCACAGCCAAAGTTGATCAATATATTTTGTTGAGACTACCGTATTTGGAATGAAATTGCCATGGTGAACTCCTGAATATAGGCAACCAATTATACAAAAAATTTCACGTGCTAACGACAGGACCGTATTTCGTAATTTACAGTCACACAAATCAGAATTTTTTCTTCTGTTGATTGAAATTATCCATAACGTATCATAAAATTTTAAATGTCAAGAGCCAACCGGTTGCAATGTTGCCAGATTGTAACTAATATTTTTTATATTACAGATATATTTAATGTAAGGTTATGTTTACAAATTAAAAAAGCCGTAAATAGTTGAATATAAACAAAAACATCGGGAGGAGATATGAGCTTAATTTAACTGAATATTGTAAAATTCCTCTAGTCAAATGACAGAATTAACATACTAGGGAAATTTTGAACTGCATTAAAATACCTAAAAATGACATTTTAAACGCCAAAGGAAAAATAAAAAAACACGTAAAAGATTTCGATTTTTATTAACCTTAACCATAAACAAATTATCTTCGCATAAGCAATATTCCAGAATGTAAACTTACGTCCGGTTTGTCCGTTAGACCCGATCGCTCGGTAGACCTTTAGGTCTACTTGGTGGAGTAGCCGATGGACGGGGGGACGCTTTGAAGATACAACGATCTTGTGGCAAATCTGCCACAATGCCGTGTCGTCGATGTCGAAGAGATATTACTAGAATATATGAAGAAATACGGCCAAGTATCAGTTCGAATTAAACAATTTTTAACAATATCCAACGAATATTTTGATGCGATCCGAAATATTCGTTGTATTATTTATTATTATTCCGTACTGGTATCAGTTTCTTCGACTTACTGTTAACACATCGAAATGGTTTTTCTTCCAACCTGAAGGATGCTTACGCTCGATTCTTATGTACTACTAATTGTAAATTGTCAAGTAAATTTCTATAGAAAAAACATACATTACCGATAACAAACAAGCTCCTTGTTGATTGAGATACCCGTTGGTAGTGAGTCGGTAGCGAGATGATACCTTGAAAGTTGATTAAAACAGGGTGTGTGTGTGATATTGGACGAATCAGCTGGGCATGCATGGCAGGCGCTCGGATCACTTCACAGTCCCAACAACCTGCCTATTGTACATATAAATTAAGTAAACAACCATTTACATACAATTATTTATTTTTAAGACGTTAAGTTTACATTTTTATCTAATAAAACAACACTCAAAATACCAGATAATCGCATTAAAAACTCTTTTTTTTGTTTGTTTTTGTTTATGGGTAAACTTACTCAGACTTATCGCTAGAGTTTTGCCTCTTCATCGACTTTAAAGCCTTTTCTCTCAATTTCCTCTCGTCTTCGTTCACCACTTCCGATTCGCTGTTGTCAGAGTCGTCGCTCTCCTGCTTCTTCCTTTTATGCTTCTTATGTTTCTTCGAGTGTTTCTTCTTCTTCTTGTGTTTCTTGTCGCGCTTTTTCTTCTTAATCTCCACCTCGTCGTCCGAATCGCTGCCCGACTTCGATTTAGCCTTCCTTCGGTGCTTCTTCTTCTTGGAAGAATCGTCGTCGCTGTCGGACGAAGAGTCCTTGTCCTTCTTGTGTTTCTTCGGCTTCTCCTTTTCGGAATCGTCCGACGAATCGACGCGCTTCTTCTTCTTCGGAACGTCACTGTCGCTCGAATCCTTCTTCAATTTCTTGGGTTTGTCGGTGCTCTGAGACCGACGCTTCTTCTTCGCCTTCTTCTCCTCCTCCGAATCGGAAGATTGGTGTCGCTTCTTGGGCGGCTTCTCCTCGCTGGAATCTCTCTTCTTTCTGTCCTTGCGCTTCTTCACCTCGACCTCGCGCGACGAACGATCGTCGTCGCTGTCGCTGCTCGACGACTCCCTCTTCTTCAGCTTCTTCTTCGTCCTCACCTTCCTCTTGTCCTTCTTCGATTCCTCCTCGCTCTCGGAATCCGACGAATTCGAATCCGTGTCGCTCTTCGACGTCTTCTTGACGACCTTCTTGGCGACCTTCTCCTTGTGCGACTTCTTCTTCTCGTCCTTCGGGCCGGAAGTCTTCGCCGGCTTCGGCGGAAACTCGTCGGCCTTGATGAACGGCGAGGGAGTCCTCGAGAGGCTCCTCGAGTACCTCGGCGGACCGTGCGGCGGAATGGGATAGTTCTCCTCCCCCGGCGAGACGCTCCTCGACTTCTTCTTCTCCCTCTCCGGATCCTTCTCCTTGAGTTTGGTGGACGCGTCGGTGACGGTCGCGGGGGCGGAGGCGGCCTGCTCCGCCGCCTTCTTGCGTCGCTCCGATTCCTCCTTCTCCTTCTTCTCGTGCCGGTTCAGCTCCTCTTCGATCCTCCGTCGGGCCTCTTCGACCTTCCTCGGCGGCGGTTCGAGACGCGGTTCCTCCTTGCGCGCCGGCCTCCTGTCCTCCTGGCGGCTGTCCCTCTTCTGCGGACTGGGGCTCGGCCGGCGTTGCCTGGACCTCTCCCTCGGCGGTGATCTCCTGCGCGCGCTGCCACGGTCACGGGACCGTCTTCGGGACCTCGATCGGCGATCTCTCGACAATCGTCGGTCGCGTTCGCGCGACGGCGTCGGCCGCCTGTACGAGTTCCTGTTCCTGCTGCGGCTCCTTCGGAACCTGCGGATTATCCGGTATAAAATTTATACACTGTTGGAAATTTAATTTCGCATAATAGGGAAATCAATGGTAAATTCTTAGCCGGCTGAAATCCAGTCTACCGGTGTACATTTCGATAGAACGTCGCGATCAATTCTAATAAATTTAATTGTTCTACTGGACCGCACGCCGCGATTTGTAGAGGTACAAAGTTATTTGTGTTAGGTATGAGGTACAAAATTATTTAGAAACTACAATTAATAGGTTTTTTGGGGATATTTCAAAAAAATGTGTGTATCGGTAGGTACAGTTTTGAAACAGCAACAAATTTTGTTGAAATAAGGGAAAAAATAATTCAATTTTCAGCTAGAATTATACCTCAGCTCAGTAATATGGGATGACATCTGTATGGCAGGTTTGGCTATTGTTTAGCAGAAAGCGGTAGACTATTTTTTAGAGTTCTTTTATTTTCTGTTTTAAAATAATCTTTAAGTTTATTTTTGGAGTTTCCTTTTTATTATTTTCTTAGATTTTACTTTCTTTTTCAAGCCATTGTGGCAAAAAGACATATCTACATGATTCTATTTTAATATTAGTGATATTTTTTCAATAAATTATCGTTTAAAAATTCTCATTTCTTTGTAATCGACTCGACGTTCACCCATCCGAACCCGTTTTGATACTGTCGAAGTGTCGAAACCGTCGAAATTATTTGATTTTTAATCTAAACCAAACCAAATCGCGGAGTGAAGTCCAGTAGAACAATTAAATTTATTAGAATTAATCGCGACGTTCTATTGAAATGTACACTGGTAGACTGGATTTCAGCCGGCTAAGAATTTAACATCGATTTCCCTATTATGCGCGAATAATTTTCCAACAGTGTATACCACCGTAAATGTGTTGCGTTAAACTATTACCTGTTTCTACTGATGCTTCTGGACCTTCTTCTCGGGCTGCCCCTGCGAGGCCGGCTGTTTCCCCTTCTGCGCGAGCGACTCCTGCGGCTGTAGCTCCTGCGAGGGCCGGGGCCTCTTCTCGGCGAAATGCGCCTGGACGGGCTGCGGCGGCGCCGGTCGCGGCTGATGCTTCGCCTGCCTCTCGATGGGCTTCGTCTGGAAGTAAAAATCTATCTGTAATTTCGAAGAATATGTTAAACGATAGAATTTTCGAGCTCGAATTAATGTTTTATTTAGTTCGAACTCGGCGAGGCATCCGTGCCAAAGAAGGCTCCGTCCTTTTTACTTCGATTAAAACAAAACCTAAAATTTCTTTTACATCTTTACAAGACCCGATTATCTACATAGTTCTGAGAGTTGTGGTCTCCTCGAAGCTGGTAAAACTCGAATGGGATTATTTTAATAGATTCTCATTGTGTGCACATTTTTTAACTCTATCATGGCGATAAAAATCCCACCTTCTAGATATACTCCTCCGTCTGCTGGTAGACCTCCGTCTCGACAGACTCCTCTTCTTCCCCCTCGGGCTGTCCTTCCTTCGGCGCGACTTCGACCTCGACCTCTTCCTCTTCGAATCCGCCTCGCTGTCGGAGCTGTCCTTGTTTGACCTGTAGTGCCTCTTCTTCTGCACGCTGTCCTCCTTCTTTCTGATCTCGAAGTTCTCCTTCGAGCCCGAGCTCGATCGCGACCGTCGCTTGTCCTTGAGCGTCTTCGACGTCGACCTGGACCGTCTGCCTTTGAACGACCGGCTCGACGATCGCGACTTCGATCTCGACTTCGATCGAGCCCCTCGGCTGCGAGACTTCGACCGGGTGCGACTCCTGCTCGGCGACCTCGATCTGGAAAGCTTCTTGTTCTCGGCGAGCGACATCAACTTCGCCTGCAGCTTGGAAACCGGCTGTACGGGAACCGTTGTACTGTCAAACATAAATAGAAAACGTAAGAAACTAATCGATGTATAGTACGTAAAAACCTTACCCGTTCTTATCCAACGATTCTTCCCTACCGTTGGTTCTTTCATTAGGACTGATGTCTCCGTTGTTCCGGACGACTTCGTTTTCTTTAGCAGAACCGGACCGGCTTCTCGATGTCCGTTCTCTCTCCTTGCTCCTCGACTTGCTGACGCCGTCCTTCGTCCTGCTCCTTTCGCGGCTCCTCGACTTCCTGTCGCTCGAGCGCGAGTTCTTGTCTCGACTCCTCGATTTCCTGTCCCTGCTGCGCGACTTTCTGTCCCTGCTCCTGGATTTCTTGTCCTTGTTGCGGCTGGAACGATCCCTGGACGTCTTCCTGGTCCTCGACCTCGATCTGGAACGCCTGGAACGGGACCGGTCGCGATCGCGGTATTTCCTCTCTTTGTCCGACTTTTCCCTTTCTTCCTTCTCCTGTCGTTCGAACAATAAGGATTAGTTGTGAAGCGGGGAGGATTAGGTTTGTTTTTACCTTTTTGATGGCGAGTTCTTCTCTTTTTAGGTTTATTAAGGATTCGGGTATACCTGAAGGGTTCTCCTGAGCGGATAGTAGAAGGGCCCAAAGTTCGGCCATGAATTCCATGGCGTTTTTGCTTTGGAGAAAGCCGGTTAAATTAATCTGCATCTTCTTTGGATCCGGAAACTGTGCATACGGAAAAAGTGAATTTAAATAACAATCCTGATATGGAAATATTTGAGAATGTTCATACCTTAACTTCTAATTGATTGTAAACAAAGTTAACGACTACATCGTCTTCGATTTTTAATATTTCCGTTACTTTATCAGAAATCCAAGGCTTGATTACTTCTATCTTGATTTTGGTCATATCCACCTGAAATGATTGCGTTTAAAAATTATTATTGAATCAATTGACTAAAATATGCAAATGGTGTTAATACAAAAACACTATTACAGATGAAATTTTGTGTTTATTAGTAACGATTGGAACGCAAATAAATTAATGTTAAACAAATAGACGTACCTGCTGACTTAAACAAGGACTAAACTTCATCTGCTTGAGAAGTTTCTTCTCTTTATCGCTGAACCGGTTATCCTGATCAGTATTTGTGCCCTATGTAAAAATATCCATTCATTTAAGGCAAACAAGATATATAAATCGACTTTGGGGAAAAGTTCGATGCAATACAATCGAAAAAACTCGAATACTCACCGTATACATGGTTGTTTTAATCGAAAAAAAAACTCTAATTAAAATAAAATACTTCCGAGCCGAATTCCAACTAAAACTACCTCACATTATTTCCGAATGGTTAAACGTAGCCGACGTGCAGCTCTTTGCATCAAATGCAACGCTATTCTACATTTGCAATCGCAATCAATAAATAAATTGATTTAATTCAGTAACTTGATAACACGCTACAATAGTGAGTCAAGCCGATCGACCACCATCAACAAAATGGCGAAGCCGAAAAATTCAAACAGCGCTGCCAACTTGAATTGAGGTTTGCACGAAAAACCCTATAATTTTCGAATAAAACCACTTAAAAATGTGATTAGTATGTTAATAAGACGATAGAAAGTTAATAAAATGATAAAATAGGTTATTTATAGACTGTAAAAGAGTAATTAGTAGTGATAATTGAAAAAATTTAATCGATCGATATTGTTGAGTGCTGCCAATATTTGATGTTTTGAACAAATTTCCCTAGATTATAACTAGAATTGACGTTTTGTCCTAGCCAATAGGATTGGTACTTTTTTTACTGGATTTTTCAAGTCAAATGAAAAAATATTGCAAAATGTTTTATAGAAATCCTAAAGACTCGTTTAATTTAAGGAACGATTAATTGATACAAAATATTTATATTTATTTGAAAAAAAGTTTTATTCCAAAAAGCTATTTCGATTAAAATTAAAAATACAACCAAAAAATGCTTGTGATGTAAACTGTTAAGCATAACTAAACCTAACATAAAGCACACCGTCAAATTTCCTTCTTTACCGGATCACTTTTGTTATCAGCATCATCGTTTACACTTGGAATTTCTGGCTCATCGGAGTTCTCGATGGTCTTCTTCTTGAACCACCTACCACCCGTGTAGCCAGCTATGGCGCACGTCACCGCCGCGACGCCCCCCACTTTTAGCCCTGCGACCAGTCCAATCGGGCCACCAATTATTCCACCTAGAAATGCCCCTGTAACCGGATACGCCACCGCTTTTAATCTACAAGAAATGCAAAGGAATATCTCTGGTCAAGAGGAAGAGGCTGCTTGTCCCAGAGGTAAGAGTCAACATGAAACTAATAATACTCACTTGTGAGCTTTAGATAAGTTCCTAGTGCCGATTTCGACGTTCTGGTGGGCGTCTTCGACGCAATTTTCTATGTGATCGACACTCTCGGCCTGGGTTCCGACCATTTCGTGTAAATTTTTGTACATTTCATGTAAATCTTCTACATCGCGGTTGATGTTCTCGACCTTCGAGAGCGTTTCTAGGCGTTCGTTCAGCTTAATATCCTCAATGTTCGCGTGAATTTGTATGTGACTAGTTCCTTCGAATGGCTGTTGGTTCTCTTTACCCATATTGTCGTTACTTTGTTCATTGGTTAAGGTATTGTTCACCATTTTCTCCAATTCTACAAACGATTGTACTTAAATTTATTCATAAATAAAGGTAACTGGTTTATTACCCGAATATCCACTAATTAAATTAAGTAATATTTTTCTTAAAGACAACGTTTTTGTATCGAATTGATCTAAGTTTTCGTCCTCAACTTGCGTTCGTAGAGTATCCAACTCGTACATAAGATCCCTTAGTTGCTTTACGTTTCGTTTCTTCGCTTTAATTTCCTTTCTAAGTTGTTGTTCATCGGAGATAGCCATTAACTACAATAATCGCAATTATTAAATTACGTTAGAAAATAAGTCGCACATACTAACCATATTTATATTCGATTTGTAACTTTCGAAAACATTCTGGTGATGTGGGATTATCTCATCTTTGAACTTGCTTAGAGGTACTTCTATAACTTTAAATGGTTGTTTATTATGTGAATTTAATATACTAGACATTGTTTGGTATTTATTTTATATTAAAATAGATTTTTGTGTGTTTCAAGTTGTCTTTGTTTTGTTATTGATAATTTTGTGAGAGAAGAAGAAAACGTCAATTTTCTACTTCTTTTTTGTGCAAAATAACCGAGTACTAATAAAGACAAAGGCCACGAATTCCAAATTCTGTCTGAATGTGAATATATTTTAGGTTATGTTTTCAATTTAAAATAATCTCAATATTCTCAATTAAACCACCACAAAATGTTGAAAAGAATTAATAACACCACATTCGCCAACCTGAGATCGTTGTATCTCTCAGCAAACCACCGGCAACAATTAGAGCAGGACAAAGGTACTCGTATCACAGCACTCTCGAATATCCCTCTAAAATAATAACTTCCAGCCCCCAAGAGGATGAGAGACGAAGTCCTGCTGCACCCCGATTACTTCCGCGTCCACAATCTGTTCACCGTAAAAGACTTATTCGATGCCCGGGTGCATTTCGGACACCGGGACGGTTCCCTGGACGAAAAAATGCTGCCGTACATCTACGGCAGTAGATTGGGACACATCATCTTCGATCTGGACAAAACGGCGGAGTATTTGAGGACTGCGTTGAACGTAACAGCTCAGATAGCTTATCGGGACGGTGTAATATTATTCTTCAACCGAGGAGCCCAGCATGCCTACTTGGTGGAGAAAACGGCCAAAGAGTGCGGGGAATTCGCGCACACCAGGTTCTGGAGAGGAGGGATATTCACGAATTCAACCAAACAATTCGGATGCGTTACCAGACTCCCCGACTTGTGTATATTCTTAAACACTTTGAACAATGTGCTAATTCAACACACGGCTATCAGGGATTCAGCCAAAATGTTGATTACTACAATCGGTATTGTCGATTCGAATTGCAACCCCAATTTGCTGACTTACCCTGTACCGGGAAACGATGACTCCCCGACGTCCGTCGAGCTCTACTGCAAATTATTCAAAGCCGCCATTTTGAGGGGAAAGGAGAAAAGGAAAGAACACATTGAACAAAACGTTTATTAATTGTAACTTAGATTTAGTAATAAAATATTCGTTAATATATTTTATCGATGTTATTATCGACTAATTCGGTTTTAGGAATTTCGGGTTTTAGGAACTATTGGAAAATTATGCGTTAGAGTAAGAAATTGTTTAAAAAAAAGGTTAATTATGAGTGTGATCGATTTGATACTAAATACTAAACCCTCCACCTTCAGTCTTTGTGCAAGTTCTGCAAAAATAAAATGCTTTAAATATAAATATATCGAGCTTTATATCATATATTACAAATATTATACTATTTAACTGTTTGTACCTGGTCCAATGTTTTACTATCTCTCAATTTAAAGAGGTATTGCGGTCCTATAACTTTGACAGCCCTAAAAACAAATCCATTAGAATAGTTATCGAAGAAATTGCGACGGGTATTACAGTTTAAATAACACTGGGAAATACACAGACACGTAAATTAACGGGATAATAGGAAATAGCCCCATCCAGGACTCCTGCGTTTTATTTACAAGAGCAACAGCGTTTAAATAACCGCACCGTTCGGCTGTCATTCGTTTATCAGTCTCTTGAACGGACGAATTTAATTTCTGGAAGATAAAAATTGTACGAAATTCATTTCATTCGAAACATTCACTACCTCTCCAGCTTTGCCGGTGAAGGCTTCCCCCAAAAAATTCGTAAAAGTCGGCCCCGGACACAAAAGCGTAACGTGCAGGTTTTTACGCATATTTTCTATCCTCAAACTGTTGAAATACCCCTGAAAGAGAACCAATCCAGCTTCATATTTGCCAGTTTATTCGCAACATAAACTCACGTGAATGGCATGCTTCGATCCGGTGTACGTTCCGGAGTACGGAGCTCCTATGACTCCGGCTACACTGGAAACAACAGCGACGTGTCCTTCGCCCGTTGCATTGAAATGCTCGAGGGCTACTCTAGTTAAATTAACCACAGCGAATACGTTGAGATCGAACAGTTGCTTGTCCACTTCCAGCTCGATTTCCTCCCAATTGGCCCGCTGAGACCTGCCCGCATTGTTCAGCAGTATATCTATTTTACCAAAGTGACTGACTGCTTTGGAAAACTGGCTCTTGTGCGATGCACAATCGGTTACATCCATCGGTAGCAACAGGATATCTTTGTCTTCTAATTGGCCTTTGGAGAGTTCTAGTAATGGTGTTAGATAGTAGATTTCTAGTCGGTGAATAAGTGATTAGGTTTATTTACCTAGACATTTGGTTTTGACTCTTTTTAATTCGTTCAGTCTTCTTGCGGATAGGGTTAGTTTTACTCCGAATTTGGCTAAGGCGTATGCGGTGTATTCTCCGATGCCACTGGATGCTCCAGTGATGAAGACCACCTTCCCTTTTAGTCTTCCTGAAACCACAAAAGGAGGTACTTGTACATGAATTTTGTACTACATACATAAGATATTTATCAATATTCAACCATTTTTAGTATCTCCGGTACAAGTTTATAAGTTTAACAAACCCATCTCTAATTATAGTACATAAATAATTGGTAAGTAATGAGTTATTTTATATGTAAATTGCTAACATTAAACTTGATTCGATATGAACAAATTTAAATTAATTATTACGTAATTAATTATTAAACTTACGTGGCGATTTTCCGAATTTTTCGTAAAGCCATAATTCTAAATCGCAATCGGCTAAACAGGTTAAAAGGGTGTATAAAGCGCCGTAAGTGAACACACCGATGCCTATTACAGTAAAAAACATTTTTTCGTAGATTGAATGGGCTAATTTAAGAATGAACTAATCACAACCTAAACAATCGACTGGAGATCGAAGTTTAAAAACATAAAAACCAAATAAAAATACTGTGGGAATATTCCGCTTGAAAAAATTGGAAAAAATAAGGTTAAAGAAGAATTGTTTTTGCCGAGTACAGGATTGGCCTGAGCACTAATTTTTTGGTAAGATAAATTATTTTATTTTCTTATTGCATATGTTTCGATTTATTGGGTAATTTAAAAAAAATATCACTGTTTTTATGAAAAAAAATTTTTTGTGATAAAACAAAAAACAACGTCAAATGTCAATGTCAAAAATTTTTGGTTTTTGGCAACGCTAGAATCTAAAAATCTAGAATGCCTAATGAGGTCAATTTTTCACATTTCCGTTTCCGATTATTCCGTCATTTTCAAATCTGTCAATTTTGACGTATATCAAACCTACATAAATGAAAATCTCAGATAAACAAGTAAAGTGTTTAGTTATTAATCTGAGATGAAAATGTATAAGCTTCTTAGACCAAACTTAGATTAGATTAGAGAATAATAGACAAGTACCTACAAATTGCAGGACCGGGCTGGGCATGTGACACTTTTGTAATTGCATTATATATTATTATGAATAATATAAAACGAAATGGAGAGTAATAATAATAATCGCACTTACTTGGCGATTTTCCAAATTTTTCGCACAACCACAATTCTAAATCGCAGTCACTAAAACAGGTCATAAGGGAGCCCACCATTCCGTAGAAAATCGCTCCGACGGTTATTAACGCAAAAAACAACATTTTTCTAATAACTATTTAACGAAATTCTGACTAGCTGTGTATCGAATTCGTCGAATTAAAATGAGTGAAAGTGAGACATTGAACTCGAACTTGAGAGTACCGCTTCTTCAGATTCTCCATCAAATTAATCGATACAAGAAGTAAAAGCTTTTACCACAATTTAGTAGGCTATGAATAAATTAATTTTCTGTCCTCGTTTCGTTGCAGCGCCCAGTAAACATAAAAAGGTATATTCACGTTCTATGAATGTACGTTTTAAGTCCAACAACGGATATACGAATTAAGAATATTCCTAGAATATGCTATTCACATATCTTTTATAGAATATTCTTTTAGCGACCGTCCTATGCATATACGTTTGCGAAATATTCCGAACGGGAATGTTCTTAGCACATGCGTATAAAAGATATCCCTTAACGCACATGCCAAGAACATTCGTTTTTAGGACATTCCTATTGAAACGTTCTTTTCACATGATAGTTAGATTTCACCAGGTTAATAAAAAGGATATTCTTAGCATGTGCTAAACATACACATGCACAATCGTAATTCGTCTTTGTTACAAAAAGTATGTTTTAATTAATATTCCTACCTCAAATCAATTATTTTTTATATTATATTAGGACATGTTAACCTATAAGAATTACATGCTTTATAATTTTATATCTATTTCACTTTTACGTCATCCTTTCCGCAGAGAGTGAGAGAAATAACTAACTTGTTGGTGTTCGTTCAAGTGGTGTTGTCGGCTGTTGAGTGTTGCAGAGACAGCTTACGTAAGTTGTCTCTGAGTGTTGTGTAATGTCTCTTTTATAAGACATTTTTGTGGATACGCGTTTTAAAAAAAGAAGGGTTGGTGTATTCAGTGTACCTGGCAACCCGGCTTGCAATCGACCTGGCAACACTGAGTGTATATTGGTACTGACCACGCCTGACGCCATCCCGTTAATAGCTAATATTCCTAATTGTTTTCTTTTTGACTTTTGTTTTATTTATGTTTGTTTGATTTACGTTTGTTTGATTTACGTGTAAATAAGGTACGTTCTATATAATTGTATAATGGCTGCCAAACGAACGAAAGAAGGATTTGGAGTACAGTTTAAGAGAAAGAGGAAAAACGAAAGGATAACCTCACTTTTAGCGGCTCATTTAGCGGCTTTTATTGGCAAGGTGCATATTGGGTAAGTATGTTTTTTTTATTTTTCATAATATATGTTGGAGCACATATTAGAATTCTATATAATCTGCTCAAAGTTTTATCTGCTACAGTGAATCGTCAAAACAATGCTTATGTACCTGACCAGCCAGACCATGATAAATAATCAAGACAGCGATTAACAATACTCAAAAGAAAGGATAGTAATAATAAATATATTATGTTTTTAGATGCTGTTAAGCTACAATATACTACTTCAATGGATACTGATATAACTTCGGTTATAAAAATTTGGCTGGTGAAAGCCAAAGAAAGGCTTAAAAAACCTCCCCAGGACTCAATCAACGAACCTTGCGATTAACAATTGTGTACATTTAGGCTTACATAAATATATATTAGGTTTTTTCATACTTTATAATGTTTTTATTTTCCTTTGGACATCCTTTGGACATCCTTTGGACATCCTTTGGACATCCTTTGGACATCCTTTGGACATTAATAGCACATTCTTATAACGTTCCTTCCTAGGACATGCTATAGACCTTTGCCTAGTCAAGTGATAAGGATATTAAGAGAACGTGCTGCAGCACATTCTTAGAATGTGTAATATCTGCTTCTTATAGGGGTTTGTAATATATTCTTAGGACATTCTATTCACATGCTGTATGTTATTTACGAACATTCTTAGGAACGGATGTTTCTGTTAGAAGACATGCTCGGAACATGCATAGCAAGTGATTTTGTTTACTGGGCGTGGATTTTTTCGAAGCTCAAAATATTTCAAAAATTTACTAGTAATTTACTTAATACGCCTCTCTCAATGCTTTTAATTGAAACCACTTATTATAGTTTAATATGTTTTTAGGTACTTTTTTGTGTTGCTAAAAACCTTTATGTATCAACAATTATTGTAATTAGAAATAAAAAAAAGTATTTTCGAAACAACAATAATCTGTATATTTTTTAATGAAGACAGAAATTTTGAGAAATTTGTTGAAATTACTAATATTGGGGAGCAACAATAAAGAATCTATATTTCCTTTAAATGAAATTAACACAATATTTTTTATCTTTGAACTGATTAAGGATGTTCAATCGAAAGGAAATGGGCGTCCAGTTAAAAACATTTCAGATAACTTTACTTACAATCATTTGTCTCTGTACTATCTTAAAAACAATCTATGCACATAAATAAAATGAGTATGAAAATGTCTAAAAGTTTTAAAGTGTAGGTACAGGTTGCATTTTAATTGTTTAAGTGTTTATTTTACCTATCTAAATTTTGCAAGATTTATGAGGCAGATTAGTACTATTTGTTATTTATCGATGATATTTGCCTTAAAAATTAGGTGAGTACCGCCTTAATCTTTAGAAATTTCCAAGAATTACTTGTCATAAGTACGCACTTAGCCATTTTTTTATCCATTTTTGTTTGCTATAATATTTCTCGGAATCCATTTAAACTGGATTAAGCGTACCAACTCTATAAGATTCTGATCGAGACGTCTGGGAAGTACAGAAGAAATATTTGTTTCTTTAAAACCAGCGTCGTATAATTGTACTTTTGAATTAATACTAGCCTATAATTTAATGCATTTCCACCTGTGGTATTTATCTACTAAAAGACATCATGAGCTTTCGAAAGTTTAGATTTTTCTTATTAGATGATTATATACTCTGAAGCCCTAAACCAGGATAATTTATAGTTCTATGAACATGAAATAATTTGAGTACAATTATCCCTTGAAAATTTACATCCTACGACACTGTAATATGTGGGTACCTTATTTAAAGATTTTTAAGAAATATGAGCACGTACTCGTTATAAAATGTTTCGTTTCTAGTCTACTAAATCAATTCGACTGGTTTTGTTCATTTTGTGTTTCATTTGGTGTAGTTTTTGAATTCAGTATAGAGTATGAAACAGTGCAACGTGTTACAGAAATGAATTAGGTACCACCCAGCATTCATTTTGTAGCATCTATTATGCACTTGATAAATAAGTATTTATCTGATAGAAACAATTAACTAATCTATGTAATTATATTTACGTGAGTTACAAAAAAAGTACAGTTGTAGTTGAAAAATGGCGGTGGTTGAGGATAAGAAAAAGTACAGGCCTTTAGAGCCAATTCTTATACAAATAAACAAGGATTTCATTTCACTTTCTAAGGACGAAATGAAAAGGAACAACGCACTTTTGATGTCGGTAAGTACCTATTTAATACCACTGTTTAATACAGGGTGTTTCATTGGGAAAGGGCAATATTTTAACCCTATATAGAGGTCACCCAGGGGATTACAAAAAACCCATATACTATGGGTGTTGCGCCCTTTATAACCGAGTTACAGGGTGTTTTTTGAATTTGGGCTATTTCTTTCGACACCTATAACTTTTGAATCACTTAGTATATATTTTTGATATTTGGCATATATATTCTATACCTTTAGGACAATTTATTGCCACATTAAAAAATTACAAAATCCAGGTCCGGATTTAGAAAAATTATTAAAATTTGACCGACCCTAAAACAACACCCTATACATTATATTTTTAAAAATTGAATTTCAAATTCAGAAAGAGCATAAAAAAACTGAATGTATTCATCAACTTTTTATTTTCCCGCATGCCGTTTTTCTACCAAAATTTAAACGTTAAAATGTACATTATAATTAATTTTAATTATTTTAATTAATTATTTTTTCTTTAATAAAACCAGCTTTACTTAACACTTTCATGGAAATTCCTGAAATGAACCTATTGAACTTGAATTAACATTCACATAAACCAATAAAAATTACAATTACAGATCCGCACTTAATAAAATTAAAATGATTTCAATTCATTTAATAATTTAATTATTGATTAATCAATTTTTACATTTCTACATGAGAAAATTCAAAACTTAACTAAGTAATTTATTAGCTCTTTTTTACAAAAAATACTAATACTAAATACTGTATAAGCATAAATAAATATCCTGATTGTAGTTGATGGATTTACTAATACCTGAAATGAAAAGAAAAGATCCGCTATTTAAGGAAATGTATACTAAGGTGTTTTACGGTGGCAGTTATTATGATAAGTTGCGAGTCAAAGAACCGAATGAATTCGATTTGGATTTACTTTTAACATTACCGGTGCTTTCCGAACCTTTGGTATCTATTGCTAACGTTCCGGGTTACACTACTTTAAAGTTAAACAATTTATCTGCTTTGAATAAACACGCTGACCTGGCTAAAAGATATAGGTAAGTGTAAATGTCGATGTGTAATTTTTTTGCACATTAGGTTGCAATTTTAGCGGTTTATCCAAATTACTGGAGAACGAGAAAGACTGTTACCTGGATAATGATAAAGTTAGAAGGTGGATGGAAAGTGTGGTTACTCTAGCTCTTAATACATTTCCGCATACTAAAGGAAACTACGAATTGAAATTGCCACAAGGAAAATTTATAGTAAGTCCGTTTATTTTCTATCATGCCCGATTTCACCAACATGTTGTTAGGTATTTCCTAACTAGGTAATTCCTAAGGTAGGAATTACTTAAATCGAATACTTACCTAAATCGAATTTCACCAACATTAGAAATCCCTTACTAAGAAATACCTAGGTAAAAATTTGATTTCGACAATTTTTTGAATTTTATTGGCAGCATTGGCTAATTTTGATGTGTAAACCGAATAAGCGGAGATCGAAATTGAATATGTTGAGAGAAGAGAAGAGATGTTGACGATCCGGGCCATCTTTAAATTAGGTTAGTTATTTTAAAATCTGCTGAAGATGTAGTCTGTACATTATTAGAAAAATAACCTTTCCGATTTGTAAAATATTTCTACATCTTCTTCTCCATGACTATGGATATTTACATGCATGTGTACGGTCAATAGTTCCAAAAACTTCCTGTGTATAAAATTAAAAATCATCTTCAATTCATTCTAATATTTGTAATGCCGTATTTTTATACAGGGTGTCCCAAAATTCACGCCCGTCCTTTCAGAATATGATTCAGTGGGCTAAAACAAATTAAATTTTAAGAATAAAATTTTTTCGTTTTGTCCTTGATAACCGAGTTATTGATAAAAAAACAAAAAAATTTAAATTCAACCATTAAATTTTAATTAAATTAATTAAAACAAAGTAAGCTAAAAACAAATGACTGGCAGGTTGCTATGGTGATGGTAAAATTTTTTAATTCGTTCTGTCAACTTCTGTCATTATTGGCATAAGTAGAATTTTATTTTTTTATTATAAAAATGGATCATTATTATTCTAATCGAGAATACGTTGACATGATAAAATTATTGACAAAACGAAAAAATTTTATTCTTAAAATTTAATTTGTTTTAGCCCGCTGAATCATATTCTGAAAGGACGGGCGTGAATTTTGGGACACCCTGTATATCGAAAAAGGCGAAAAAAAATCAGTTTCGTCCAGTTTCTAAAAACTCTCCTCCCATTTTAAATGTTCATCTAAAGAGTGTAAAGACAGTCAAGACTTAAGTCACATGAACTCTCATGGAAAGTATGGTTAAGTATTTCCTAAATGTTTTAGGCAAGCCCAGTGAGCTGTCCTAACTTTAGGCATTTCCTATTACCTTTAGGTATTACTTAGCGCATGGTGAAATGCGAATTGTACTTAGGAATTCCTAAATCCGGTTTAGGTATTACCTAACTTTAGGAACTGGTTGGTGAAATCGGGCATCAGTATTTTTGAATTTCACTCTACTTTTAGGCGAAAGTTCACAAATCTGGACCCGCCTTTACTTTAAAACTAAACGGTACAATCGATCGTGTTGATATTGCTGTGGATATCGATTTAGTACCATGTTTTATGTTTAACATAGACAAACTACCTGTTAAGAAACTTAACAGCGGGTTTAAGGTATTAATTGCGATTTTATTTCAAACCTCAAATTGAATTTTGTCCGTTTTATATACAACCATGCAGAGCAAAACATTCTTTATTGTTCCCAAACCCATAAAAAACAATAGCGCAATAAATTGCGCGAATCGTTATTGGAGATTGAGTTATCAGGAGCAAGAAAGGGAAATTATGGAATGTAAAAATAACCAATACTTGAAACCGACCATTAAACTGTTGAAGGTAACTGCTAGGTTCAAAAAAAAAAGATATTATTATTTAATTGCATGATTTGTAGAAACTAAAGGAAATGGACCATCCATACATTGCTAGTTACTTCATAAAAACTGTGGTTATATGGGAAGCCGAAAAACGCAAAGATGACGAGTCATTTTGGAACACTTCCTTCAGTTATGTCTTCATGACCGTAAGTACCTACCAGTGTTGTTAAGTAATTAATTACAAGTAATTGAAAAAGTAATTGAATTACTTAGAGGATTACTTAGAGGATGATAATAATACAAATTGTCTTTTTATTCTAAACGACAAAAAATATTCAAGTTTACTGGAAAATCAGCCAGAAATGAAGAGTTCATTATTTTCGCGCTTCCCCGGTTGCAGTTTATTATATCCCAGAAGCAGTGTTGTTAAGTAATTAATTACAAGTAATTGAAAAAGTAATTGAATTACTTTTATTGTAATTGAGGCGGTAATTAATTACAAGCTCCTCAATTGTAATTCATTTGTAATTCAATTACTCCTTTCGTTACAATTACAATTACATTTTACAATTACTGTTCAATTACATTGGACACAAAAGTACTTATTTAATATTTTCAATACGTGGAAAGTTTAATTCCGATTGCAAATCCCTAAATAATTATTTAAAACTGACACCAAAGCAAAGTAATTGTGATTGTAATTGTAATTGTAATTACATTCGCAAATTTTGTAATTGTAATTGCAATTAATTACAATTTGCCAAAAGTAATTGTAATTGTAATTAATTACATATTATAAAGTAATTTTAACATCACTGGTACCTACCATTGGCAATTAATCGGACAAAATAAGAATATTCCGCATTTTTTTATTAATTTACAGTGTTTGAAGAAGTATTGTGAATGCATTGAGAATAAGAAAATTCCTTACTATTGGAACAAAAACAACAATCTCATACAGAACATCAGTCCTGTTGTATTGGGCAATCTGAAGTGTAGACTTAACAACATTATAAAAAATATAGAGAAAAATATGACGGATAATCCGAAAATTTTTGCGGAATATTTCTGTAAGTAACATATTAACTAATATTTAACCAGTGAATTAATAAATTCACCTTATTTTATTTTTTCTAGTGACCGAAGAAGAAAAGCTTCGGTTGTATTCATCACTAAACCTAAATATACAATAATATTTAATTTATACGCATACTTTTTATTCTTAATTGTCTTTGTACCTACATTTTATTAATTTATCTATTTATGTATTAACTGCCACGAAATGAACAAATTTATTGGTTTTATCCTCATAATTCATCGTATACATTATTATACTAAAATATTAATAAAAATATTTAAAAACAGTTTCAAAATCTTGAATTTTTTTCTGTTGCATCGCAATGCGATAATTTTGGAAAATTTGAAAAATACACTCCTGGACAAAATTAACGCAATATCATAAACTTGCCACATTTTTGATGCTATTTTTTATTTGAATTTATGATCCGATTTGGATGATTTTTTTTTTGTATTATAGGTTGGTTCCTTGACAATGTCACCATTTTCGCTGTTTATGATAAAATGTTCCTTCTCGATTATACCGGGTGTAATAAAAAGGTAATGTTTTTTTCCGAAAATTCGTATCACCCTGTGGAGTATACTAGCAAACGAGGCATATAGCAGTTGACATTAGACGGTAGATTCATCTTTTGCCAACATTTTCTTTTTTTGGTTTACTTCATTATCTCTGTTATTAAAGAAGATGTACCTTTTTATAGCGTAACATGTTTTAATAGACTTTATTATTCAAAACATTCATTGTTAAATGTTTTCAAGTAGGCTTTGGACCTTTTTTGACATTTCAAGCGATGTGTCAATATCGAATACATTATTTGTTATCTGTATAACAAAATAATTCCTGCTCGCTTTGATGAATGAAAACAAAATTAACGAATTACTTTATTTCATAAAGTAAAATTAAGAGTTTATTAAACACATTTTTTTGGAAACGAGTGAAACAAGAAAAGAACATAAATCAAAAACAATAAAATTAATGGATTTATAATGCTAATAACGTGTATGCCCACCTCTACTTCGAATTATTGCTCCATTGCAATATGACTCATTGAATAGCCCTCATCCATAATTTTTTGGACGATTCATTTTTCAAGATTAAAATAACAAATAATGTATTCGATATTGACACATCGCTTGAAATGTCAAAAAAGGTCCAAAGCCTACTTGAAAACATTTAACAATGAATCTTTTGAATAATACAGTCTATTAAAACATGTTACGCTATAAAACGGCATATCTCCTTTAATAACAGAGATAATGAAGTAAACCAAAAAAGAAAATGTTGACAAAAGATGGATCTACCGTCTAATGTCAACTGCTATATGTCTCGTTTGCTAGTATACTCCACAGGGTGATACGAATTTTCGGAAAAAAACATTACATTTTTATTACACCCGGTATAATCGAAAAGGAACATTTTATCATAAACAGCGAAAATGGTGACATTGTCAAGGAACCAACCTATAATACAAAAAAAAAATCATCCAAATCGGTTCATAACTTCAAATAAAAAATAGCATCAAAAATGTAGCAAATTTATGATGTTGCGTTAATTTTGTCCAGGAGTTTATTCTAGCCGCGCTTTATTTTTTTTTTCCTCACAATTTCCGGCGTCCACGTCACTGTAAAGGCGATGGACTGCGGCTCACGTTTTAAACGTTTCTAGATACACTTGTGAGTGCTTGTGATGTGATAATATTAGTACAGTACGCAGCAAAACATGCGCTATGTTTAGGTATATAAGTTTGCTGTAACATGTTTCGCTTCTAATTACAATTACACCAAACATACCAAATTGATTCAGCCCTATTTGTAAGTGTTATTGAGTACAAAGGGCGCCATAAATAATATTACTTTTATACTTTAACTAGAAATAGTTATAGAAGTGAAATGGCTGACGCGGATGACCGTAGAAAATACAAACCTTTAGAAAACGTTCTGATTCGAATAAACCGGGATATCATTTCGCTTTCTGATGTCGAAGTTAGAAGGAACAATGCTATTTTAAGATCGGTAAGTACCAAAAATCTACGTTTGATTGTTGCATCAGATAGCTTGCTCTCGATACCAATAATATGTTTATCATATTTCTAATTAATTCTTAATTTTTAAGTAGGTAAAATACTAATATAATCAAAATAAACTAAACTACACTCCTGGACAAAATTAACGCAACATCATAAATTTGCCACATTTTTTATGCTATTTTTTGTTTGAATTTATGATCCGATTTGGATGATTTTTTTTTTGTATTATAGGTTGGTTCCTTGACAATGTCACCATTTTCGCTGTTTACATAAATTCAAACAAAAATAGCATAAAAAATGTGGCAAATTTATGATGTTGCGTTAATTTTGTCCAGGAGTTTATTTATGGATTTGATTAGAGTAAAAATCTCTAAACTCTCGTTCCTTTTCTCGTACACCCCTCCACTCATATAGGACATAAATATCCTGGTTGCAGTTGTTGGAAGATATACTAATACCTGAAATGAAAGAAAAAGATCCTCTATTCGAGAAACTGTTCACAAGGGTGTTTTACGGCGGCAGTTTTTACGATGGATTGCGAGTGAAGGACCCGAATGAATTCGATTTGGATTTGCTGTTGAGATTGCCGAAACTTTCCGAACCGAAGCTGATTCCTGATGATGATGTACCGGGTTATACGATCTTAAAATTAAACAATTTACCGGCTGTGAAAAGACATCTTTACATGCTTGATACATATAGGCAAGTGTAGAATTAGGTGCCTAATATTTTTTAATTGGCAACAACCATTTTAGAGGTATATCTAAATTTTTATTAGAAAGCGAAGAGAGGCCTTACCTGGATAATAATAAAGTAAGAATGTGGATGGAGCGGGTGGTTACTCGTGCTCTTAATACTTTTCCGGTGTGTTTTGGGCAATATTCAATAGAAATACTTCAATCAACGTTTTTAGTAAGTTTAAATTTCGATTGGATGTTATTAGATGTTATTCCCTGCACTTTTAGGTGAAAGTTCACAAATCCGGTCCTGCTTTGACTTTAAAATTAAGAGGTTACATGGACTGGGAAACTATTGTTATGGACATTGATTTAGTCCCATGCTTTGAATTCGATGTTGGGCACATGCCGGTTCAAAAACTCCTCAATAGAAATTTTCAGGTATCAACGTTAATATTCTTTTTAATTCCAATATGTAAATTTTGTTCATTTCGTACGCCCCCGTTCAGAAAAAGACCTTCTTTGTCGTTCCCAAGCCCATGAATAATGAAATGGTACCAAATAACAATCGTTATTGGAGGTTGAGTTACCAGGAGCAAGAACGTGAACTTATGGGAAGTGATCGTCATCAATACCTAAAACCAACTATAAAACTATTGAAGGTAACTTCGTGCGAAAATACAGTAGGAAGGTACGACCTATTTACATTTTTTTAGAAACTAAAGGAAAAGGAACATCCATTTATTGCTAGTTACTTCATTAAAACTGTGGTTCTCTTGGAAGCCGAAGAACGCGAGGATGATCGTTATTGGAGCACTTCTTTAAGCTATGTCTTTATGACGGTAAGGATTATTTAAGTATAAAGTGTGAGTATTAAGTATTGTATGAGATAAAACCACGCCCCTGTAAGCATTTTCTCTATAGGAAAATCACTGTTTCATTTTGGTTTGTTAGCATCTTTAAGATATTTTTATTTGCAGTGTTTAAAGAAGTACCATCAATATATTGAGCGGAAATATATTCCTTATTACTGGAACGAAAATTACAATCTTTTACAGTCTATGTCATATAGCGCATTAGACAATTTGAAATACAGACTTGGCAATATAATTCGCCATATAGAAAGGAATTTGGAAGCAGGAAATCCATATATCATTCAGAATTATTTATGTAAGTTTCTTCATCACCTGTATACAGGGTGTCTACTATAAAAACCGCCAAACTTCAGGAGGTGATTATACAAGTAATTTTGAACAAAAAATGTCCTATAACACTTTTTCGAAAAGTCGATAGTTTCTCTTTTATTTAACATTTCATTATTTTAAATTTTTTTTTTGGATTTTTTCCAAAAGACCGAAATATCACATTTATTCGTATAGTCACATTAATTTTGATCATATACCGTAAAAGTGCATTAAATTTGCTATAAAAAAGTATTTATCAGAGTTAAAAAAAAATCAATAGCGGGTGTTATAAAAGATTTAATTGTTATGAATATGAAATGAACAAAATTATATGTATCTTTTAATGGTCATAAAGCCAACAATTTTATAAAATTCATAAGTTTTTTTAGTAAAAACTACTGTATTTAATAAGCTTTTAAGAGGTATACTCAGATATTGAGTAAAATGTTTTTTTGTAGAAATTTTAAAGGTTTATGTTATAAAATACAAAGTTGTTCAAACAAGAATATCCTGAAAATAAAAATCTACAAAAAATTAATTAGTGATTCTGTATAAAAAAAATGAAAGAAATGTGAAGAAAATGTCATTCATATAAATGTGATATTTCGGTCTTTTTGAAAAAAATCCAAAAAAAAATGTAAAATAATGAAATGTTAAATAAAAGAGAAACGATTGACTTTTCGAAAAAGTGTTATAGGACATTTTTTGTTCAAAATTACTTGTATAATCACCTCCTGAAGTTTGGCGGTTTTTATAGTAGACACCCTGTATACGGATAAGTGCGAAGTTGTGGTCTATGGGTGCAACAAAGAAGACTTTCATTAGTTTCATATAAAGGGAAAAGATGGAATGATATTGTGGAATTGCAACTTTCTCACTCTAACCACTGTTATTTTAGTAATACTTCTTTGTTCAACTCATAGAATTGACTATACAGGGCTTTTCACGGTAACCGTCCATTAAAATTACCTCAATAATGAAAAGACTTAAGAATCTGAAATTTGGTTATAGTATTTTTTGGATAATATGAATTGATTTAAAATATTTTCATTTTGATTACACTTCCGTTTATACCGGAAGTTGATACCAACTTCGTTATTTTATATGGAAAGTGCCATTTGTAACTTCATTTTTGAATTCTATGGCCTTTTTTAACTAGACTTTGATAATAACACCATATGCCAAAAATGCACCATTTTTAAGATATTACAATTTTTTTGATATTTTTTGGAAAAACAGTCGAATGTATTTTCTGTGATATCTCTGTTAATAATGCAGCTAGAAGCTTGAAATTGAGTATCGATGATGTCCAGACATACTACTAAATGAAACTAAACTGTATTTTTAGAATCCATGTACAGGGCGTTTAAAATAGTCCGACAAACATGGCCAAATTAAAGTGGTCAAAACTTTGTTATTTCAAATGGATCACCTTGTATTTTTTAACAGTGACAAATGCAGTGTTTTAAGCCCTTTCGATCCATATGGGTATTCCCTATACCCAAATCTAGTAGTTTTTGAAATAATCGAAGTTTTATTAAATAAGGTATGAATTTTCTTTTTTTTAGTTATCTAGTTGGCCATTTGATGGCCTTATGATAATCCGACATTTATGTATTTTTGAAAAATTCTACGCTAAATTTAAGAGTACTTTTGCCTAAAACATTTTTTCAAAAAATGTATACTTTTTGAGATATTTTTTTTTATGAAAAATTGACAGTTGCAGACCCTTATAAATTATCTTTTTACGAGTAAACCCTTAGATTTAATGAAATGGTTTCTGTGAGGTGACTACCATTAAGGTTAAAGGTAATTGAATCGGTTTAAAAAATACTCTCTATTGCATACAGGGTGTGTATAAAAAGTACGAACAGTTAAGATTCAAAAATATCAAATTTCTTTATTTCTTCAAATGGAGCACCCTGTATATTTTCATATTTTTAAAATCTACAGACTTTTTTAAGGTAACTTTGTACAATAAGTCCTATTTCTATGTTTCACCATTCCCGAGTTATTTAAACAAAAAAAATAGACTAATTTCTGCCATTTAATAATTGACAAATAAATGTAATTATCTGTTAGAAGGCTTTGAAATGAATATTTATTTATTTAAAATTTTAAAAAAATATGTGGACATCATCGATACTCAATTTCAAGCTTCTAGCTGCATTATTAACAGAGATATCATAGAAAATACATTCGACTGTTTTTCCAAAAAATATCAAAAAAATTGTAATATCTTAAAAATGGTGCATTTTTGGCATATGGTGTTATTATCAGTCTAGTTAAAAAAGGCCATAGAATTCAAAAATGAAGTTAAAAATGGCACTTTTCATATAAAATAACGAAGTTGGTGTCAACTTCCGGTATAACCGGAAGTGTAATCAAAATGAAAATATTTTATATCAATTCAAATTATCCAAAAAATAAATGAAAAGCCCTGTATTGCAAACAAAATTGAACCTATCTGTATGTCATCTCTGCGTTTTTCTAGTGACTGACAAAGAACTTTCGCTCTATAAAGAACAACTTCCGTTCTATGAAAATGAAAATGCTAATATCGCCGAAGAACCTCCTTCTTCTTCATGCATTATTCTATAATGCACAGGGCATCCAAAATATTAAATAAAATTATTCCAATCATGTTCAGGTACTTTTATTTATTTTACATTTTATTTACAGTGTTCCAGTAGCTGGTCGTCTAATAGAATAATGTACAATAAAAATATTTATCGAATTAGCTATAAAATTAAAAATTAAGGCTTATCGTTAAAGTGTGTTGCTTCGAAAAGGCGGGATATATTTAATTTTGTGCGAATACGCTTGAGGAGGCAGCAACGATGATAAACACCTGTTCGTTATAACCGCCGTAAGGCCCCAAATCCTTCGCTTTCCACCCAAAAACACCGGCAAGGAAGCCCCGCTCCTGAATTGCGTATAACCCTGCTTAGCAGGATTGCACAAATCCTCCAAAGACACCGCGAACACATCCTCCACTTCCGACGCGTTTACGTTCAAATCCCCCGTTTTAATTTCACCTAAAATCCTACCGATAACCGGCAATACAGTCACTTTTCGCCTGGATATTATCAAACTACCGCTACCCCAAACGTCCACGCTGTGTGCCGGTATGCCTAATTCTTCGTCGGTTTCCCGCAGGGCGGTGTCTTCTAAGCTTTTGTCGCCGGCGTCCTGCTTGCCCCCCGGGAAACTGACCTGCCCTCGGTGGGTTTTCAAATGGGCCGCTCTTAGAGTGTACAGCAGCGAGGCTTTTCCTTCGACGTTGCACAGCGGAATCAATACGGCGGCCTTTGACGTGGGCTGGTGTGCAGTCATTCTGAGCGGTTTCAGGCTGGCGAATTTCCGGGCCGTTCGGTTCTTGTTCTCTTCTTTGAACACCTCGTCGGCCGAATAGAAATTCGAGTTTCTTTGGTTGAATAGACGTTTCATTACTACACTAGGAACACCGAACATTTTGCTGTATTTGCCACTGGAATTTTGCGATTTTTAACTGTCAAAAATGGTTTGACATTAGCGAATTGTTACTACAGGCGATTTGGATTTTGGCGATTTTGGTGAACTTTTAGCGAGGAATTGTGTAAATGTTAACGTTTCGGTTATAAATATTCACTTGCGTACGTCATTTCACTTCACAGAATTTGTATACACACGAACACTTGTGGTTTGGTCGCGGCCATAACCTTAATTTAATTGAACTAATTTGTGGCTACGTAACCGTTACCGTGCAAATAATTTCAAGGTAACATACCTAATCGTCACAAAATCAATAAAACGATAAAAGAGAAGAATTCTATTTCGTTGCATTCTTATAATACATGCAATTATTCAATTTACATAAACGATTGGAAGTCAAACAAAAATTAGACAATCAAACTTAACTAGGCAACACAGATTACACTCACTTGATTTTGACATTTTCCCCTGAAGTTAGGCAACACAAAAAGCAAGAAAAAACAAAACGAAATAGCTTTATTTTTCTTCGAAGTTAAAACATTTTCAACGATTTTCACTCTACTTTCGATCAAACTTTTCTCATCCTCCGGTATTTTATCGGTGTTGAGGTTCCTCAATAGGAAATGGTGGATGAACAGTCTCAAGCTTTCCTCATATTTTCCTCAATTTGCCTCATAAACCGTAAAGTTGTCTTGTCTAATTCGCTAAATTGAACAATCTACAACCAAAAAAATTATCAAAGCTCAGCTAATATGCGATTATTATAATATTTACCTTGAGGATTGATATAGGCAAACCTTTCTCTATGAATAAATGTATCAACAATTTCGCTAAATTGGATAACTGTGAACCTGAGTGGTCACCAATCACTTTTAATTTATCCCATATAGAGTATTTAATTGTTAGCTAAAATTAAATATAGTTATATATAAAAAGTAATATATAAAGTAACGTTTTACCTGATATTTCCTATCAAAATCGCAGAATTTCTGTGCTACATAACCGTAATATGGATTGTAATTTTTTTCCTGAAGACAGCAGTGCAATAAAATGTTTATAATTTCTCTTTCTTGTGTATTCTTTAATCCTAATTTGAGTAGCTTTTCAAATGCATCCAAATAGTCCTAGAAGTGGTGAAAATAGTTAAATAGAATTGCATTTAAATTAGGTATTACCTCAGCAGACATGATTATACAAAATATATTTCGCCTTATATCAGTGTTCATCCTTTGCTGCCTGGCAAGTTCGAGTAATTTCGCGGAAAACCCTTCAGTTTTTGAAATTTTCTTGGATTTCGCGCTTTCCGTACTTTTACCACGCTCATCGGCTAAAACAGACAATTTAAATCCCCAAAAACTCATAATTTATACCTAATAATACCTTTTAACAAATCCTCCAGTCTTATATTAAGCATAGTAACATAATTTCCTTTTCTAATTAACCCTTTTATAATCTTCTTCATATGCTCCGAGTAAGACACATCGTAGTTCGGTATCTTCTTTACATTATTATTTTTAATCGCTAGTAATACATATAGCTTTGTATATCTAACATGAATTTCACTCGCGAACTGAAGATAAAAATTGATTAGTTTCGAGTAAATTGAGTACATTAATCTAACTTACTTATCCTTCTCTTCATCGCTGTGTTCTATTAAGAGTCTTTCGGGAGCGATAACCTCGGATACCAAAGATTCCATTATTAAATTGGTGAGGGTTTCGTTCATGTCGTTTCGGCTGTTGTTCATGTACAGGTCTTCGATTTTCGATGCTATACCTACTGTGCATGTTCGATTCTGCTAGCTTGTTCAATAATCCTGTATAAATAACGAGCAATATTATTGAACAATATTACTAGTGGAGGTCGTTAGAAGTACCTTTGAGTTGTTTTCTCAAACGATTTAGCTTCTTCTCCTGGCGTATTTTGTCTTCAGGTTCATTATCTTTAATTTTATTTCTCAAAGCTGGTGGTATGTACTTCGATTCGGATTGCTTGCTCCTTCTGAGAAGATATAAAAATAGAATACTCTTATAATATGTACAATACAGGGTTTTTCACGGTAACCGTCTATTAGAAGTATCTCAATAATGAAAAGACTTAAAAATCTGAAATTTTGGTTATAGTATTTTTTGGATAATTTGAATTGATCTAAAATATTTTTATTTTGATTACACTTCCGGTTATACCGGAAGTTGACACCAACTTCGTTATTTTAAATGAAAAGTGCCATTTTTAACTTCATTTTTGAATTCTATGGTCTTTTTTAACTAGACTTTGATAATAACACCATATGCCAAAAATGCACCATTTTTAAGATATTACAATTTTTTTGATATTTTTTGGAAAAACGGTCGAATGTATTTTCTATGATATCTCTGTTAATAATGCAGCTAGAAGCTTAAAATTGAGTATCGATGATATCCAGACATACTACTAAATGAAACTAAACTGTACTTTCAGAATCCATGTACAGAGCGTTTAAAATTGTCTGACAAATTTGGCCAAATTAAAGTGGTCATAACTTTGTTATTTCAAATGGATCACCTTTCGATCCATATGGATATTCCCTATATCCAAATCTAGTAGTTTTTGAAATAATCGAAGTTTTATTAAATAAGGTATGAATTTTCTTTTTTTTGAGTTATCTATTTGATGACCTTACGTCAATCCGACAAATGAAATCAGTTCTGAAATTATAGCAAAAATGTCAATGTTGGGTAATATTCAAGATTTTTTGAACTTATTACTTTTATACGGTGCATTAGTTTCATTTAGTAGTATGTCTGGACATCATTGATACTCAATTTCAAGCTTCTAGCTACATTATTAACAGAGATATCACAGAAAATACATTCGACTGTTTTTCCAAAAAATATCGAAAAAATTGTAATATCATAAAAATGGTGCATTTTTGGCATATGGTGTTGTTATCAAAGTCTAGTTAAAAAAGGCCATAGAATTCAAAAATGAAGTTAAAAATGGCACTTTCCATATAAAATAACGAAGTTGGTGTCAACTTCCGGTATAACCGGAAGTGTAATCAAAATGAAAATATTTTAGATCAATTCATATTATCCAAAAAATACTATAACCAAAATTTCAGATTTTTAAGTCTTTTCATTATTGAGATACTTCTAATGGACGGTTACCGTGAAAAGCCCTGTATATTACCTTCATACTCCCTCCAGGTAATTGCTTCGCTAATCCTTTATGCACTATTTCCTTCTCTGGAATATCCTCTTTAGAACTGCAACCGTCATCAGCAGCTTCTTCATCTGAAGCATTAGAATCATTTGTAGCTTCTACATCGTCGCCTGATAAATTCTCATCATCATAATCATCTTCTGATAGACTACCACCTTCCAAATCACCATCTGATCCACTCATATCATTATCATCATCTTCTTACTTTCATCATTATTACTATAATCTTCATCAGAAACAGACGTTTTTTGTCGGTTGCTTTTACTTTCGGGTTTATCGTCGGTTTTTATTTTTAGGGTTTTATTTATTTGTGGTTTTTTTACAGGTTTTCCAGACATTAGAGCAAAGTCCTCTTCGAAATCGTTATCGGCTTCTTCCATATCTTGTTGGGATGCATTTTTTAAGTATTCCGGATCGACCACCTCCAATAAAACTAAAATGAGAGTATTAGAGATGATTTTTTAGTAAATGTTGTTGAAAATTACAGTCTAAGCCGTCTTCGGTGAAGCTTTTCGGGATGGATTTTGATTTTCGTTTTTTTAAACCCAGTTGTTTCTCCATTTGTTGTATGATTTTATCTTCTTCCTTATTGGCTTCGAGCAGTTGCTTGAATCGTTGCTTCTTCATCTCGTTTGTTAGTTTTCTTTTTTTCTTTCATTTCCTTTTTTCTCAATTTTTCTGTTGATAAAACCTACAGACCAGAATTAAATTTTGTAATTCTTAAAGTTTGTTAATTTACCTTATTTGCAATAACATCTGGTTTACTGGTTTTTCTTTTTTCTTTCCATTCGCTTTTCCAGCAAACTTTTCACTTTCAACAACACTAGCATTGTTATTGTTCACGTTCACATCGCCCTTTTTCTTCGAGAAAAATTCATTTTTTCTCATGCTCTTCGCGTTAACTTAGGAGCTTGCTTCGCATTTTTATTTTTAAATGCCATTTTTATTAAACGAGCATAAAATATTTTAGTAAACAAGAAACCTAACCTCAATCCAAACCATGCTACAAACTTCACAAACTGTCAAGTGTCAAAATCATTTGACATGTATAGGCTACCACGATTACACATATTTGTAAAGTGAGTTGTATAACTTTGAGGTTGTGTAGTGATGGAGTTTCACCAGGATAGGACTCGGCGATTTTTGATTTAAAACAAGCACTATAAATTAATTATATTGTGATAATAACAAATAATATTCATAATAAGTATTCTATTTAATAAATCAAGCATAGTCAAGCTGCATATGTTTCATTGTCTTGAGATTAGAGGATGTTAATTGTAACGTTCACAATTAAAACACTTGCTTTATAAATATCGATTTATTCCGTCTTTTACTATAAATATTAACATGTTATCTCGAACGCTGTCTTGCTATTAATGACTAATTTTTATTCACAACCATCCCTGATTCATCCGTCCTATGACAAGTATTTACTTATACACTACAAGCCATGTATTGTTAATTAATGAAAATGAAAGTCAGTGATAATTAAACGTACCGGGATAATATTTTCATAAACTTGGTCTCCGCACATTAATATTTGATCGATTGTTCGACCAAAGAACGGAACCCCCAGAAGCCTGTATGTTAGGGCTAGACTAGCATTTGGGATACAGCTAGCGTTTCTGGTTTTCGGCAGTGCTAATCTGTCGCCTTGGTGGAAGCTTCCTACTGCAATACATGAATAGTTCATGGTATTAACTAAAAAAAAGCATGCTTAAATTTAAAAACACGTTATTAACTAAAAAAAGCATGTTTAAATTTAAAAACACGATACATGCGTTTAACAAAAAACCCCTTTTTAACATGCAAATAACATGCAAATTGTTGGGTCAAAATGTTTTATTTAAAAAGACTTACCTACCCAGTCAACATTGTAATGTAACTGATACGTAAACAGTTTCTGGATAAGCAGGAACCAGTTAACAATGGCCCCAGAAAAAACGGAGGCGGTTATACTGAAGGGGAAAAGGAATAGAGAAGACATCACTTTCAAAATTTGTAAAAGTTCAATCAGTCCAAAAAAATGGGTAAAATGTCTCGGCGTATACATTGATGATAGACTCATCTTTAACCAACATATCAGGAGCACCGTGGAAAAAGCGTTTAATTCATATGTAGCTCTTTCGAAATTGATGCCGAATATAGGAGGTCCTTCAACAGAAAAAAGGGCCATGCTTGGCTCGGTTGTACACTCCATACTTCTGTATGGAGCCCCAATCTGGCACCGCGTGGCTAACACAAGAAAATACGGAGGTATGCTAAGGAGTGTACAAAGGAAAATGATCATCAGGATAATAAATGCCTATAGAACGGTATCAAGCGAAGCGGCCAATGCGATAGCGGGCATCCCACCCATAGAGTTATTAATCGATGAGAGAGTAAGAATTCAAAAGAGGAAAAAACAGGAACAGCTAACGGACGAAATAAGGAAAGAGGAAAGGAATTTAACAATGGAGAAATGGCAAAATCAATGGGCAGAAGAATCGGGAAAGGCCACATGGACGAGGAGAATAATTCCAGATATTAGGAAATGGTGCGAGTGTACACCGTCATGTCGATTACTACACGACACAGGTGCTAACAGGACACGGATGTTTCAACAACTACCTACAAAGGTTTGGGCGAAAAGAGGATAGCAGTTGTGTATACTGTGGGGTTGAAGATAGTGTGGAACACACCCTGCTGAAATGTCCAAGGTGGAGTGGCGCAAGAACGGAAGTGAAGGAAGAGTTGGAAGAAGGAAGTACAATGAAGGAGATCCTGGAAAATATGATAGATAGTGCGGAAGTTTGGGGGAAGATCCAAAAGTTTATTAAAGGTGTTGTGAAAGAAAAGGAAACGGAGGAAAGAACAATGCAGGCTATAAACTAAAGGAACCAAGTGTCTGCTGAAGAATGTCATTCGACGGTACCGGCAGTCATGATGGTGGAGAAGACGGTAGAGGAGTTTTTAGTGGGTATTATGCGCCTTACAGTCCCACACTACCCCCGCCGATCAACCGCGGGGGTGTGCGTAAACGATAGGGTAGGGCAGGGACCAAATGGCCGGGTTGTGGGTCTCAGTAGGTGCGGTAGGGTGCCCATACATACCGTACAATAAAAGGCTGAGCCCGCAGTCCTGTGTGGACGAACCGGCAAATCCTATCTCCACCTCCTCGTGGTGGTCCCTGGTAATGCGCGGCGTGCTGCTGTAGTACGTCTCGTAGCCAACGGAGAAGGGTTATGGCGAGTTTCCGGCGTCTGAAATAAATAACTGGAATTAGTGGGCTAAGGGAAGGCAACCCCTGACAGAAAACCGTGGATGGAACTTGGGATATCGGACCGGCGAGAAGTAGGACAATTTTAAACAAAGATGATGGACAGTACGACAAAGAGAAAAGACGATACAGAACAGGGTGTAGGATACCCAGTTTCGGTCGGGACAGGGAGTGGGCGAGCGGGCTCCCCCCGACCGTCAGCAAGTGACTGCTCTGAACCTCTGGTGGAAAGGCAGGCCAGGGAGTTCAGCACTGCTACTGCCACTGAAAAGTCAGGAATGATGGAGGAGTTCGCCTTTGGGCGCGGTGGAACCACCAGACGAACGCGCCCTGGGAAAGGAATAAAAAGTGGCCAAGCGATGGAAGAAGGTACGGCGGTGGAAAAGGAAAAGAAGGCGAAAACAATAGCTAAGCAGGAACTACTCCAAAGGAAACCCAGAGCTGCTTCCTTAGGCGGAGTAAAGAGGAGTAGGGACGATGAGGAAAGTGTAGACACAGAGTCACAGTTTAGGGAGATAAAGGAAAAAGTCAACGGGCTTGAGGAAGTTCCATGGACATGGGGACTGACCTTAAAGTTATAACCACAGGAGATATATCCATCGAATGCTTAAGAAAGCAGTGCGAGATAGTGTTTCGAAACAGTGGAAGGAAGATATTACTGCAAGCGACGGAGCGGAAAGGTGAAAGAGCACAGAAGAGGAAAATGAGGTAGGTAAATGATAAATTGATTCTTAAGGCAGAGGGCAAGAGTTATGCTGAAACGCTGAAAGATATTAAGGATATGGTAAACATTGGAGAGCTAGGAGTGCAGGTAGAAAAAGTTAAAAAGACGCTAGGAGGGATTTATTGATTGAGATGAAGAAAGGAAACGATGTGGGAAAATTGAAACAAAGCTTAGAAAGTAATATTGGGAAGATAAAAGTGATACACAAGAGAGACCTGAAGACACTGCACATTCTGGATATAACGCCGGATATACATATGGAGGGGATAAGAGAAGCAATAAGAAGGGAGATAGGAGAGGGCGAAGTTGAAATTTCTTCACTTAGAACGAGGGGAGATGGGAACCAAGTAGCGACCTAAGAACAAGTAGGCAAATAGCGGAAAGCATGCTGGGGAATGGGAGGATAAAAATAGGGTGGCCCCAGTGTAGAGTTATAGAATGGGTCCCCTGACCAGATGCTTTAGATGTTTGCAGTACGGGCATAAAAGGGAGAATTGTACCGGTGAGGACAGGTCGAACGCTTGCTTTAAATGTAATAAGGAGGGTCAGAGAGGGTCGAGAAGTGAAGCTATGAGAAGCGGTAGCCAAGTCAGAGGCACGAAGCCCGTATCGGAGGGAAAAGAAAAGGGCGAAGGAGATAATAATGCCAAGCAGCTATAATATCCTGCAAACGAACCTGGGGAGAAGAAGGGCCGCGCATGATCTTGTATATACGACGCTAATGGACGAAAATATAGACATCTTAGTGGTAGGCGAGCCCAACATTAAAATAACAAAGGGGGGGAATTGGATCAAGGACCGAAGAACGAATGTTGCAGTGTTGTTTAATAATCGAAAAATTGAAATAGGTAATATAGTTGAGGGAGAAGGTTTTGTGAGTGTTAATTTGGGGAAGTGGAATTTAGTATGTGTATACCTGTCACCTAATGACACCAAGGAGAGGTACAAAAAAGATATAGATAGTATTTTAGAACACTGCCTTTCTTTAAAGGGGGAATATGTACTCCTCGGAGATTTCAACGCGAAGGCTCCTCAGTGGGGATCACCACAGTGTGACCAAAGAGGAGAATATCTGTCAGAATGGATAGCGATGCTGGACCTGGTGGTCATAAATAATGGAGATCAGCCGACGTATGTTAAGGGTAGCGTTGCGTCGCATATAGATATAACATGCACAACAGAACGCACCGCTCGAAAGATAGGAAATTGGGAAGTCCTGAGTGGGGAAAATTTGAGTGATCACCCATACATATATTTCGAGGTAGAAGGGAGAGTCCCTAAGAGGAATATAAACGAAAAATATTACAAGAGCATTAATTGGGACATTTTTAGGAACTCTATAGAAGTGAGGCTAGATGGGTTGGAGAGAAATGAGGTAGCGGACAAGTGTATGGATATAATTCAGGAGGCATATAAAAATAGCTCAAAAATGGGCAAGAAGAGGAGAGATGTACCATTCTGGTGGAATGCGGAAATCAAGGAGGGGAGAGAGGAATGTCTAAAAATACGCAGGAGATTAACAAGGATGGCAAAACAGAGGGGTGTAACCGAAACACAAAAGGGTGAAATGCGAGAAACATATAAAGTTGCTAGGAATCAACTGAAAAAATTAATAAGAGATTCAAAAAGACGAGAATGGAATAACCTATGCAAGGAAGTGGAAAACAATATCTGGGGAATTGGATATAAGATAGTTACGGGAAAACTCGTTAAGACAACACCAGTGGAGATTAGTATGGATAAAAAAGAAGAGGAAGTTAAAAAGCTGTTTAAAATAGGCGAGAAGATAGGAAAACAGAACAGAATAGATCCGATTTTAGAGGTGGAAAAATTCACAAAAAATGAATTATTGGAGGCTGTGGATAGAATGAAGAAGAACAAGGCACCAGGTCTCGATG